GCACTTGTCAGCGTATCCACTGTTAGCGTAACACACCCGCTTTAAGGACACTGACTGCTATTCAATCTATAACAGTGAAAAAGATTATTTTTTTTTTAAATCCAAACTATTGTGACACCAGATCTAATTAGTGGCACTTGTCAGCGTATCCACTGTTAGCGTAACACACCCGCTTTAAGGATACTGACTGCTATTCAATCTAATACAGTAAAAAGAGTTTTTTGTTTTTAAATCCAAACTATTGTGACACCAGATCTAATTAGTGGCACTTGTCAGCGTATCCACTGTTAGCGTAACACACCTGCTTTAAGGACACTGACTGCTATTCAATCTATAACAGTGAAAAAAAGATTATTTTTTTTTTAAATCCAAGCTATTGTGACACCAGATCTAATTAGTGGCACTGGTCAGCGTATCCACTGTTAGCGTAACACACCCGCTTTAAGGACACTGACTGCTATTCAATCTATAACAGTGAAAAAAGTTTTTTGTTTTTAAATCCAAGCTATTATGACACCAGTGAGTGGTGGCACTGGTCACCGTATCCACTGTTAGCTTAACACACCCTCTTTAAGGACACTGACTGCTATTCAATCTATAACAGTGAAAAAAGTTTTTTGTTTTTAAATGCAAGCTGTTGTGACACCAGATATGAGTGGTGGCACTGGGCACCGTATCCACTGTTAGCTTAACACACCCGCTTTAAGGACACTGACTGCTATTCAATCTATAACAGTGAAAAAAGATTATTTTTTTTTTAAATCCAAACTATTGTGACACCAGATCTAATTAGTGGCACTTGTCAGCGTATCCACTGTTAGCGTAACACACCCGCTCTAAGGATACTGACTGCTATTCAATCTAATACAGTAAAAAAAGTTTTTTGTTTTTAAATCCAAACTATTGTGACACCAGATCTAATTAGTGGCACTTGTCAGCGTATCACTGTTAGCGTAACACACCTGCTTTAAGGACACTGACTGCTATTCAATCTATAACAGTGAAAAAAGTTTTTTGTTTTTAAATCCAAGCTATTGTGACACCAGATATAAGTGGTGGCACTGGTCACCGTATCCCCTGTTAGCTTAACACACCCGCTTTAAGGACACTGACTGCTATTCAATCTATAACAGTAAAAAAAGTTTTTTGTTTTTAAATCCAAACTATTGTGACACCAGATCTAATTAGTGGCACTTGTCAGCGTATCCACTGTTAGCGTAACACACCCGCTTTAAGGACACTGACTGCTATTCCACCTATAACAGTGAAAAAAGATTATTTTTTTTTTAAATCCAAACTATTGTGACACCAGATCTAATTAGTGGCACTTGTCAGCGTATCCACTGTTAGCGTAACACACCCGCTTTATGACACTGACTGCTATTCAATCTATAACAGTGAAAAAAGTTTTTTGTTTTTAAATCCAAGCTATTGTGACACCAGATATAAGTGGTGGCACTCGTCACCGTATCCACTGTTAGCGTAACACACCTGCTTGAAGATAACTAACTGCTATTCAATCTATAACAGTGAAAAAAGTTTTTTGTTTTTAAATCCAAGCTATTGTGACACCAGATATAAGTGGTGGCACTGACTGGGGGAATGGGCACAGTATCCACTGTGAGCCTGACACAGAAGCTGGCAGCAGTGGCAGACAACTGACTGCTATTCAATCTATAACAGTGAAAAAAGTTTTTTGTTTTTAAATCCAAGTTATTGTGACACCAGATGTATTTGGTGGCACTGACTGGGGAAATGGGCACAGTATGCACTGTGAGCCTGACACAGAAGCTGGCAGCAGTGGCAGACAACTGACTGCTATTCAATCTATAACAGTGAAAAAAGTTTTTTGTTTTTAAATCCAAGCTATTGTGACACCAGATGTAATTGGTGGCACTGACTGGGGAAATGGGCACTGTGAGCCTGACACAGAAGCTGGCAGCAGTGGCAGACAACTAAGTGCATTTACATTACATAGAAAAAAAAAATCCAAAAAAAGCATACCCTTATCCCTAACCTAGCTATGCTTTTCCCTATCTTATGAACAGCAGCTACACTTTCCCTCCTCTTACTAAGCATGCAGCTTGAGAATGAATCTAAAATGGATGCTGTCCAGTAGGTGGGAGGGTCTGCTAGGGAGGGTGTGCTGCTAATTGGCTGGAATGTGTCTGCTGACTGTGAGGTACAGGGTCAAAGTTTACTCAATGATGACGAATAGGGGGCGGGTCGAACCGCGCATATGTTCGCACGCCGTGGCGAACGCGAACATGCTATGTTCGCCAGGAACCGTTCGCCGGCGAACCGTTCGGTACATCACTAGTGAATACATTAAGATGCTTAATCAGCAATCTGATTAAGATAAAGGGCCACTCTATGCACCATAACTACTTCATCTTATTGAAGTGGCTATGAAGCATTCCTTCTTTTTTTTTTAAACTACTTAATTTCAGAGATAAATACTTTTATTTTGCAGAGTTATGGGCCACCACCCTGGGCTGTCAATCAAAAAGCTAGAATGACGCACAAGCATGTCTATTCGATAAGTATAGAACTGTAGTCAATTGAAAACTGAATGGCAAAATTGTAGTGTAAAAATAGTCTAGCTAGTCTACAATTTTTCCAGATTAGCTTTTTTTGTCTACTTTTGCCATTTTCCTTTAAATTAAAGGGATCCTATAGGGCCAGGAAAACAAAGATGTTTTCCTGGCATTATAAGGTTAATAGGTCCCCTACTCCCTACGGGCCTCCATCTTGTGGGGCTGAAGGGGTATTAGACCTCTCCATTAGACCTTTCCATCGGAAAGCATTATTCAATGCTTTGCTATGGGGAAAATCTGACGCTGGAGATTCCGTGAGGACGTCCAGCGTTAGATAATGGACCAAAAGTCCGTTAGCCCCCAGTGGCTGTCTGTTTAACATTGCAGCACTAAGTGCAAAAGGGTCACAACACCCAGACTACTTCAATTTGCTGAAGTGGTCTGGGTGCCTACAGTGTCCCTTTAAGTACTATTCAGAGTTGACTAAACCCCACATGGGTTTTGACTCCTGCTGTCAGACAATTTATCTCTCTAACACCATGAGAATAAATAGCATAAATTGATTCTGGTTTTCAACTTCTGCTCCTGCTGGACTATAACTACTATCATGCTCAGTAAATATATATATATATATAGAGAGAGAGAGAGAGAGAGAGAGGAATTTGATTGAACAATGCTCAGCACTAACAAGAGACCAGCTTAATGAAAGTTAAAGGGACAGTACCATCGCCAGAACTGAACTAGAACTTATTGTAGTTGTTGTGGTGAGTGTAGCAAGTCCATGCAGGCATTTTCATGTAAACACTGTCTTTTTATAGAAAAGGCAGCGTTTACATTGCTCCTTAGGGACACCTGCAGTGGCAGTCACTCAGACAGCCACTAGAGGTGATTCCTGGGGCAATGCTACAAAACATGCAGCACTGGTGTGCAGTACTGACATTCAGCACACTCTGCATACAGGGCCGGACAGGCCCACTGGGATACCGGAAATTTCCCGGTGAGGCGTCGGCACCTGGGGCCGGGCAGACAGATGGGTGAGCTTGCGGCCGCAGGGAGAGCTCTGATGGTGGCCGCAGGGTCATGAGGTCGTTTTGTGAGTATATTTTATTCCTTTTTTTTTTTTTAATCAGCTCATTACATACAGAGAGCACTATAGTCTGTTTTTATCTTCCCTGTATACTGAGGACATCTGACTGCCGACCAGTGGTACAACAATTCACAGCCTGAGAACAAAACAAGAAGTACCTGGATCTACCATTATATCCACAGACGGGGATTGTTCCGTGCATTTCTGTTATCTATCCTCCACCAAGATTTTTAATATACTACACTATATTAAGTTTCTTTGTTCATTTTATATATCACTGGATCTGAGAACAACTCTACAGGCTCTGTCTCCCCGAACCTCTTTGTGCAGTTGGTATGATTCACCCAGAGACATTTTGTCATCAATACATTATGTAGATAGTGTATTAAAAACAAGCAAAATAATAATAATAAAATACATGCTTATGTTTAAGTTTAGGCATTTAATTCTAATCACTTTGTGCACACATATTGCACACACATATTGTGTGGGAGCCAGGAATGTCCCTTTTATAATATAAATCCACCCAGCATAATTTATTGTTACCTAACCTACACAGAGCGACTCACATGTGTGGGAGCCTGGAGTGTCCCTTTTATAATATAAATCCACCCAGCATAACTTATTGTAACCTAACCTACACAGAGCAACTCACATGTGTGGGAGCCTGGAGTGTCCCTTTTATAATATAAATCCACCCAGCATAACTTATTGTAACCTAACCTACACAGAGCGACTCACATGTTTGGGAGCCTGGAGTATCATAAATGTCACTATCTGAACTTGCTGTAAAAAATATTCTACAAGCAGGATTGCCAGATAATAGCTATGTCAGTGTTATGAAATTACAGTAGTTTTGGTTGTCAATATATAAATAGATCGAAGGAATGTGGACACAGAAACCTAGCTTGCAGATTTAAGGCGAAAAAAATATATAAACACGTACCTTACAGGAATGTTGAAATTTTCTGGATTTTCACCCACATATAATTTCAGCCTTTGCATAACTTGTGACAAATAACAATTACATAGTTTTTCAACTGATTTAATCTTCTTGCAACATCAAAAGAACAGTCAAAGTAATAGTATCCTATAAAAGCAGGTGATTTTTGTAAAACGCTTTATTAAATGGACTCTCCAGGCACCATTACAACTTAATCAGAATGAAATTCGGACATCGGCTTACGTGAAATGGTAAAACGGTTAATGAACTGTAGTCTTCAAATCAGTACCGTATCAAATCAGCCGCTTCACGTCTGTTCCAGTACAAGGCTTCATTCATAGAAACATAGAATGTGACGGCAGATAAGAACCATTCGGCCCATCCAGTCTGCCCAATTTTCTAAATACTTTCATTAATCCCTGGCCTTATCTTATAGTTAGGATAGCCTTATGCCTATCCCACGCATGCTTAAACTCCTTCACTGTGTTAACCTCTACCACTTCAGCTGGAAGGCTATTCCATGCATCCACTACCCTCTCAGTAAAGTAATACTTCCTGATATTATTTTTAAACCTTTGTCCCTCTAATTTAAGACTATGTCCTCTTGTTGTGGTAGTTTTTCTTCTTTTAAATATAGTCTCCTCCTTTACTGTGTTGATTCCCTTTATATATTTAAATGTTTCTATCATATCCCCCCTGTCTCGTCTTTCCTCCAAGCTATACATGTTAAGATCCTTTAACCTTTCCTGGTAAGTTTTATCCTGCAATCCATGAACCAGTTTAGTAGCCCTTCTCTGAACCCTCTCTAAGGTATCAATATCCTTCTGAAGATACGGTCTCCAGTACTGTGTACAATACTCCAAGTGAGGTCTCACCAGTGTTCTGTACAATGGCATGAGCACTTCCCTCTTTCTACTGCTAATACCTCTCCCTATACAACCAAGCATTCTGCTAGCATTTCCTGCTGCTCTATTACATTGTCTGCCTACCTTTAAGTCATCAGAAATAATCACCCCTAAATCCCTTTCCTCAGATGTTGAGGTTAGGACTCTATCAAATATTCTGTACTCTGCCCTTGGGTTTTTACGTCCAAGATGCATTATCTTGCACTTATCCACATTAAATGTCAGTTGCCACAACTCTGACCATTTTTCTAGTTTACCTAAATCATTTGCCATTTGGCTTATCCCTCCTGGAACATCAACCCTGTTACATATCTTAGTTTCATTAGCAAAAAGACATACCTTACCATCAAGACCTTCTGCAATATCACTAATAAAAATATTAAAGAGAATGGGTCCAAGTTCAGATCCCTGAGGTACCCCACTGGTGACAAGCCCAAGCTTCGAATATACTCCATTGACTACAACCCTCTGTTGCCTGTCACTCAGCCACTGCCTTACCCATTCAACAATATTGGAATCCAAACTTAAAGATTGCAATTTATTGATAAGCTTTCTATGTGCAACAGTGTCAAAAGCCTTACTGAAATCAAGGTAAGCAATATATACTGCACCACCCTGATCTATTATTTTAGTTACAAAATAAAAAAAATCAATAAGATTAGTTTGGCATGATCTCCCTAAAGTAAACCCATGTTGTCTCTAAACTTGAAATCCATGTGTTTTTAGATGTTCAACAATCCTATCCTTTAACATGGTTTCCATTACTTTCCCCACTACTGAAGTAAGGCTTACTGGCCTATAGTTGCCCGACTCCTCCCTACTACCTTTCTTGTGAATGGGCACAACATTCGCTAACTTCCAATCTTCTGGGACTACTCCTGCTAACAAGGATTGGTTAAATAAATCTGTTGTTTAACTTAGTGGAACTAATTTTAAGAAGCAGAAATTGCTCAGAGCCCCTGTCTCGCAAAGGCTTCTCATTGAGCTGCATTGAGAGGTCTGTGATTGGACAGTCACAGAAAGTCTGGGCGGGGTTAGAAGGGGAGGGCTTGCAAAGACTGCAGACAAGATAAATGCTGACATAATTTCATTGGGAATTTATGTACTAAACAGATATTTTTTATTTGTTTGTATTTTGGCAGTGAAGTGTTCCTGTAACATTCTAATGCATCACATATCCACAAGGGCTGCCTTGCTTAAATTATATTTTCTGGCCTAAGATTATTTAACGTCAAAATAAAACTACAATAAATAGCCACTACATCTGCAATATCTTGGCTGTCCCCCTTCATCATGTGTCAAATCTTAAGACATGAAGGCATGTAAAAAAGGTAACTGAATAGTTGGTTACTCAACAAAAGTGCAACTGGTGGACTTTATATACCAGTGTGTTTTCTATATTACCTTTAATGCATTTTTATTTCTTGTAGAATAGACATTACTTAAAATATCGAAAAGTCTTCAACTAGAAACCAGTGATATAGAACTTTCATTTTAAGTATTCTTAAAAACATAATTGTTACTTTGTAACACAGCATTCCCATGAAAGGGAAATTACATGTTTAATACAATGATTTTCTATGGAAAATATTGGATGCATGCGCAGCACTTGCCGTGTATGTGAATCAGGTCCCCACTTCTCCTCTATAAAGAGCATTTGATTGGACCACCACTAGAGGAGACCATGAAGTGAGGTGAGAAGCACCAAGACAGCCTCTGCTCTGGAAAAGGGTAAATAAAACTTTTATCTTATTTATTTTTATGGCACATATAGGGAACTTTATAGAACCATGGATAGGCTTGTATTTCTAATGCTACAGTGTTCATTTAGGTAATCAAAAAATATATCACATATAAAAAATATATCAATATACCCAAAAATATCAAAATATTAAAATGTTTTCATAATTTTAAATCACTGGAAATGCTTTTCCAAAAATATTACATTGAGGTTTTTATTTGTTGTCATTAAAATGGTTAAATCCTCTCCTGTCTCTTACCAGTTCATTAACTGATCGTCAATATATCTGTGATACAATAGAAACTGATCTTTAAAAGGATTATCATCTCCAAAGAGGGTGAGCATCTCCCTCCACTCCATACAGAGGATTGCATATGAAGGCACAAATTACACTCCCAATCGCTGCCCGATCCTTCTCGAGATCGAAATCTTCATTAAACAAAATATAATTATGAAAATAAATTAAAAATCAATGAAAGAAAATCAACACAGCACAACAAAGTATTTTGTACCTTGCATGGAAAACCAGAATAAAATTACAAATAATAAGAGGTGGCTTGGAGACTTACATTATGGGGAATCAAAGAGTATAAACCTTTAAGAAGAGGAGCAGGAAAAGTGGTTCAAGAATCCACCAGGTCTCTTATTTATAGAGAGAAGAACATATATTTTTAGTCAGGAAGAAAAAGAGAAACCTGAGACATGGCGTAACAAGGTTTAAAATATGTCCACTCTGACTCTCTAGCTGACATTTACATTTGATGTAAAATGGTTTTAAAATTTTAAAATGTTATTGTCAAAGTTCTCATATCTTTAGTTGTGTAGGACAGAAAAGAACAGAAATACCGGTTTTTCATGGTAGTTTGCTATTTTACTATATCACTAAACATCGGTTTGTTTCTCATTGTCATCGTCTTCATTATAGGTCGTGTTTTTGGCTTTGGCATGCTGTCGTAGGGTGGGGTGATTAATGCAAAGCGGAGGTTTGCTTTGGTACCATGATTTTAAGAGATTATTCACTTGTTCGTGGTCGGTGATTCCATGCAAGTGGTCCTCTTCATCGTCTGACTTCTTATTCAGGGTGAAGTGTCTGACTTTCATTTCATTGTGCATGCTCTCAAAGAAATAGAGGATGCATTTGTGGGCGAAGTCCCTTGCATGCGCACAGCACGTCTCATCAAAGATCTTCTGTTCAATATCAATATAATTACTCCAGTACCGTGTCTGGAGGAAAGCTGTCTGGTCAAAGCAGGGCTTAAGGGAACGTGCAAGAAAAGCCAAAACAATGAGTAGCAACAGGATGCCCCATCCAAATGCCTGTATCCGAAAGAACATAAAAATAGATTCATATTAAAAAACAACAAACAAGTCCTGAAAGTTTATGGATTGGTATCTGCAGTCAATAATGAGATTTTCATTATGTAATTGGACTCTTTCAAATTAATTTCCTGGAGGCCTATGCGCTCACCAGGTCTTCAAGTGCTTTGTGATACCTACAAATAAATGGTTAAAGGGACACTCTAAGCACCAAAACAACTATAGGTTAATGAAGAAGCTTTAGTGTATAAATCGCGTCCATTCAGTCTCTCTGTTTAATTATCTGTTAAATCACTTTGTTTATGCAGCTCTAGTCACACCTCCCTTGGGTGTGACTCACACAGCCTACATTAAAAAAGTTACATTTTCAATCAGCACAGGAGGTTTGTTTTAGAGGTTTGTTTCCTGCTCTGTTAATTCATCTTTAATCAGAAACAAAAAATATTTCATTCAGCTAAAGTTGTTTTGGTGGTTAGTGTTTTTCTGTAAATCAATTTAAAACAAAAATGCTAACATATTAATGTTGTTTCATTGATCAATGCAATACGGTTAATTTAAATTACTACTGGAAGTTCAGTGTAGACGTGTAATCTTCCGATTGCATCACAATTTAAAAACTGCATACATTACTGCTAAAAAATGCTAGGTTGCCAAAAACATATCAAGCCAGCAGCCAATCATATTTTCTGACTTAAAGAGTAGTTTCTGGCTTTTAACTGTGGGGGAAATAGAAACGGAAATCTCTAACAATACTTCACCCCCTTTTCGCTCAAAGTTAGGATATTTTATATATTTATTTGGTATAGTAGAATAAGGTGGATGTTCTGTGATAAAAGGCGCTTATAATAGAATAAAATACAATACAATAAAAGTGATAGCAGCTTCCACACAAAAGTAGGAACTCTCCAACCTACTAAAAATCCAATGTGTTAAAGAACGCTATTGTGCAAACAAATGCCAAATAGTGAAGAGTGTGTAGCGCTTAAATAAATAAACAAACACTTACTCCTGGAGTTCTCAGGAGATATATAAGCAATAGGTGGGAAAATCCTAAAAATAAAATACAGAAAATATAGTGCAATATGATCTGTATAGTAGTGAGAGGAATATCTTGTTACTGGATTCGCTCACATAGTCTAGAGCCTCTTAAGGACCGGCTCTGATCGCATCCACTTTTGTGTCCTTAAGGTGACACACATCCTAGACGTCCATATTAGGCGAAAACCTCAAAGATGGAGACAAAAAGATGGAGAAAACAGGGAAGCAATGCTAACCCTGGTGCATAAATCTTAAGTGCTGGTGAAAAGTCCAAGACGCGTTTCGCCTGTGTAATTCGGCTTTATCAATTGGTAATTAGAAGTGCTGCTCATTCTGATTTAAATCCCCCACGAAGGGGGATGATTGGTAGATGGTGCCCGTGATACATCCAATCACGGCGCTCGTATCGGTGGGAGTATTGGGACACGGCTGTACGTAATATTTCCTATGTTGTGAGGTCAAACAGGCAAAACGCGTCTTGGACTTTTCACCAGCACTTAAGATTTCTGCACCAGGGTTAGCATTGCTTCCCTGTTTTCTCCATCTTTTTGTCTCCATCTTTGAGGTTTTCGCCTAATATGGACGTCTAGGATGTGTGTCACCTTAAGGACACAAAAGTGGATGTGATCAGAGACGGTCCTTAAGAGGCTCTAGACTATGTGAGCGAATCCAGTAACAAGATATTCCTCTCACTACTATACAGATCATATTGCACTATATTTTCTGTATTTAATTTTTAGGATTGTCCCACCTATTTCTTATATATCTCCTGAGAACTCCAGGAGTAAGTGTTTGTTTATTTATTTAAGCGCTACACACTCTTCACTATTTGGCATTTGTTTGCACAATAGCGTTCTTTAACATATTTATTTATTTGTTTTATAAAAAAAACAAACAAAAACTGCTGAATAGATTTAGAAAAAGATCAACACCTGGTATAGACATTTTAAAAAGCTATGTGATGACACATTTAATATTTTTATGCAGGGTTCATTTTGAACTCTTTTTTTCCTTTTGAGTTGGGATGGGGTCTCAATTTTTTTGGGGGGTGAAATAAGAGATCATAGAAGATGTGATGTATCGCCTCTATGTTTGAAAGAATTGTAAGTTCTGCTGATTATAGGAGTTCCAGTATATGATTATTACAATATAGAATATAAATAGTTTCTTAGAAAATGTTACATAAAGTTCTTTCGGCAGGACTCTGCCTTTACCTGTGACCAGCATTTCAGGTATGTAGAGACTGCCTTTCGTGAAGTATTGTTTCTTATCAATGCGTCGTCTTTACACGGCACTTTGTTGAGAAGAAGTTGCAGTTCCAGTGATGTGCTATTTTCAAAGCCGGGGAATTTGTCTGGGTCAACGGATCCACTGAAGGCACAGACAAAGCATTTTCCGTCTAAAAGTGCAGTAAGGATCCAGACCACAGGAGCAACCATTGCCCTCTGAATGACATTGGTGCACATGTACCTGTAAGCATAAAAGAAGGGAGTATTTACTAAAAAAACACAGATAGTAACACCTGTCTTCGATACTATTCTTAGCACTATACTTTCCTCTGGTCCCCCTCTCTCCCCCCCAGCACTGTAAGGGTTAACAAATACTTGCTGTACTAACCCGAGCGTGATCGGCCCTGGGTCGACGCTCCGCCTATATCAACTGTCAACTGGGGGGCGGGGGGGTGCTAATGCATATGTGCAGTGAGATTTGCGAGTGCACTAGGCCCTCTCCATAGAAAGACATTGCTGCAATGCTTTTCTGTGGGGATTTTAGTAACGCTAAATGTCCTCATGCAGAGTGTGAGTACGTCCAATGTCAGTTAGGTGACTAAAAGTCACAGAGTAAGCAGGAAGTGCCTCTAATGACTGTCTGATTGACAGCTACTAGAGGCAGTCTTAGTGTTATAATGTTATTATTGCAGTTTTTTTAGAAACTGCAATAATTAGCTTTGCAGGGTTAAGGGGACAGGGAAACTGCACCCAGACCACTTCAATGAGCTAAAGTGGTCTGGGTGCCCATAGTGTCCCTTTAAGATTCTGATATGAATTCATATAAAAACATGGCAACCCTTGTTTTTTTGCTTTTTATTTTACAAACATGGCTGCATATTTAGTGCTGACTGTTAATGAGAGAGTCAGCATGAATCATGAATGAAGTCACCCAGGGCTGCCATCAGAAATGTTGGGGCCCCTGACACAGCTCAAGGTCTGGGCCCCCCGGTGCCTGCACCTGAGTCCGCCCAAAGTGCTGCCCCCCCCGAATCCGCCCACAGGGATGCAGTGTCTGCAGGGCCGGTGCAAGGATTTTTGCCACCCTAGGCAAAAGTAAAGTTTGCCGCCCCCCCATGGGACATCACAATGCCCCACCCATATGATCTGCCATGTTAACTAACACCAGTGCTGCAGTGCCGCCGTGTTTACATTAAAAGGCCTGCAGGGACAGGCTAGACACCAGAACCACTACATTAAGCTGCAGTGGTTCTCGGGACTATAGTGTCCCTTTAATGTGAAGTAAATTAGAGATTAGTGCCACGAATAATATACTAGATTGCCTACTTACAACCAGATGAGGATGATGATGGGCTCTATTTGCCGTCTGGTGTACAACAGGCTCTCTGGAGGCGGTTTGTAACTGTGGTCACAAAAATCAATGTTCTGGGAGAACAGGAAGCAGCTCCATTTTTTTGAGGGCCCTTTACACAGCTCAAGGTCTGCGTCCCAGGGTCCACCTTCATGTTCCACCAATGAGTTTGTTCACAGGTAGTGGAGTGTGTCTGTGGGGGATGTCCTGATGTGTGAAAGGAATGCATTGTGTGAATCTGTGTTTGTATGTGTAAGGGCTGCAAGATGAGTTTGTGTATGTATGAGATGCAGTGTGTGCGTCTGTAAGGGATGCATTGAGTGTGTGTAAGGGGTGCATTGTGTGTTGCTGTGTGTAAGGGATGCATTGCTTGTGTACGTGTGTCTGTGTGTAATGCATTGTGTGTTTTTCTGTGTGCAAGGGGTGCATTGTGTGTGATGGATGTCAATCTCTCCCCCTCCCCCCGTCAATTTCCTTCTCCCCCCCTCTCCCTCCAATTTCCTTCTTCTCCCCCTCCCTCTCCAATTTCCTTCTTCTCCCCCTCCCTCTCCAATTTACTTCTTCCCCCCCTCCAATTTCCTTCTTTTCCCCCCTTCAATTTCCTTCTTCTCCCCCTCCCTCTCATTTCCTTCTCCCCCTCTCCAATTTCCTTCCTTCTCCCCTCCAATTTCTTTCCTCTCCCCCATCCCTCAAATTTCCTTCCTCTCCCCCCGTCCCTCAAATTTCCCTCCTCTCCCCCGTCCCTCAAATTTTCTTCCTCTCCCCCCGTCCCTCAAATTTCCTTCCTCTCCCTGCCTCAAATTTCCTTCCTCTCCCCCCTCCCTCAAATTTAATTCCCTATCCCCCCTCAGAGTTTCATTTCATTTCCCCCTCCCATTTCATTCCTTTCCCCCCTCCCCTCCCATTTCATTCCTTCCCCCTCCCATTTCATTCCTTCCCCCCCCTCCCCTTCCATTCATTTCCCCTCCCATTTCATTTCTTCCCCCCCTCCCCTTCATTCCCCCTCATTTCATTCCTTCCCCCATTCATTTCCCCCTCCCATTTCATTCCACCCCCCCTCCATTTCATCCCCCCTCCCATTTTATTTCATTTCATTCCTTCCCCATTTCTTCCCCTCCCCTTCCATTTCATTCATCCCCCCCTCCATTTCTTCCCCCCCTCCATTTCATTCATTTCCCCCCCTCCCATTTTATTTCATTCCATTCCTCCCCTCCATTTCATTCCTTTCCCCCTCCCATTTCTCCCCCTTCCATTTCATTCATTTCCCCCCTCCATTTTATTTCGATTCCATTCCTCCCCCTCCCATTTCATTCCTTTCCCCCTCCATTTCTTTCCCCCCTTCCATTTCATTTCATTTCCCCCCCCCATTTTATTTCATTCCATTCCTCCCCCCACCCCCTCCCATTTCATTCCTTCCCACCTCCTCCCTCAAATTTCATTCATCTTCCGGCTCCGGCATCAGTACGGTGCGCGAGGGAGCTGAAGAGGAAGCCCACAGAGAGTGCTCCCTCGCGCGCCCGCCGCCCGGTGTCAGCAGGGCCAGCCTCTGGGGGGCCCTGAGGTTACCGGCTGCTGGGCCCCCCAGGAGAAGAGGCTGGCCCTGTGGGTACATACTGGGTCGCAGGGCCCCCTGCGACCCGGTATGTACCCACTGAATGTGGGGCCCGGACGACCTGAGCAGTCCGGGCCCCCCAGGACCGCCGGGCCCATGACAACCGTTGCGGTTGTCATGCCCTGATGGCGGCCCTGAAGTCACCCTGGAAGAAAATGGAAGCTGCGCATTATAAGACACAAAGGTCTATTTTGCCATAAGTCTGATAGGGGCATCAGGCATAGTTGCACATAACAAGAAAGTGGAGAAATTTGTAATGCACTTTATATAATAATAACCTGTACGTCATTCGGGACAAACATGGACATGAGTAGCCAAATTTATGACGATATGTGAATGAAACAATTAAAAAGGATCAAATATAAACCAATTCTTGTATTTCCTGTGAATTCCTAGGCTTTTCATCTTCTGCATTGAGCTCTGCCCTGACGCTTAACGTTCTTTGACAGCAGTGATTTCTGGGAGTTGTAGTTCAGCTGCCAACCAACAGTGAAAATCAACTGCTAAACCACAACTCCCATAAACCTTTGCTTTGCAGCGTGCAAGACTGCATTATTGAAATAAAAATAGAAAGGTTAGGCCTTGAGCTATTTCATATTAGGAAAAAGTTACTTTTTCACATTTTCTGTTATTTTTTCTTGTGTTGCTTTTTGAATATCATATAATATCATATATATCATTTATTAATATAAATATATTTTTTTTGTTTCAAAATGCACCCAATTTTGTGGTTTTCTCCTACACGGTTTAAATTTTGGCGGAAGTAGTGAGGACTATTTTTAAAACACTTTTTAAAAAAGATTTTTTAAACTCCCCCAAAATTTTCTATTAATGTTTCTACTCCATAAAGGCATCTCATGGTGTCCTTATATTGTGTTGCAGTGTTTTGTGTTCTCATACGCTAGACATACAGTAAAAATAGAGCCAGATTGACCATAATGCAGTACAGGCCGTGGTCTTGGTCTCGAGCTCCGGCTCTGGTTGTGAGATCTCCTTGCTTGGCCCTGTGCTCCTACGTTGAGGGAGTTTTGTGCTCTGCATCTCTATCAGATGAAGATCACTTCAAGAGATGCCTTGCAGTCCCCCAAAACTTCTCAATTACCCAGAGTGCCGCAAGCAGCACATTGAGTCATTGACTAAAACCACGATGCTAAGACCACAATGTAACTCTTAAAGTGACACCAGGTAGAAGTGCGAATCACGTTCCCCCACCTGACCACCGGGGATCCTGCAAAAAATGGCCTCCACTGGATGACCACTTGCTCCTAAAGGTAAGCAGGAGGGGGTCAAAAGAAAAACTTCCCTTTCCCAACACACTTGGACTCTAAGTACACAACACACAGCCACACTCAGACTGTTCTCCACCCATACAAAATGCAGGCTCCTCCACAAACAAAATTCAGCCACCACATACACAACACTCAGATGACATACACTCAGCTTCTCCCCCACACCAACAGCCTCCTTCACACACACAACACTCAGCCACTACACACAGTCTCTAACACACAGAACACTCAATCATTCCCACACGCAGCCACCACACACATACACACACACACACACACACACACACACACCAGTCACAGAACAGCGCTAAGGCCTGTAGAAGGCCCCAATCTAGCCTGCCTAGGGTACTGGGCAACATTATTACAGCTGTGAACGTAAAGATAAAATCTATAAACAAAGTTATTGTGGGTTAATTTACCAAATAGTGAACTGCAGAGAAATAACTAAGATAAATACAACTAAGTTGCAAAATGTAAAGCGGAATTGCACTCTTAGCTAATGCTTTTCAGCCCTATTTTGAGTTCACCTAAACTCACTGTGAATAACATTTTAGTAGATAGATGTTTTAGCTTTTTATCTTAGTTATTACAATTACAAATAAACAAACATATATTAAATACTTACTTCACTATGGCAAAGTCTTTTCTCCGGTAGCCTGTTGGCCTTTTCCATTCTTCAATCATGATCACCGACTGTCTGTTAACCATAAGACCAACAAGGAAAAGAGCCACCGGTGGTACAAACATTATTCCCATGCCGTAAGCCATATTATAGTTTGGTAAGCACGGACAGTTAAATTCCATTGATTTATACATCTTAACACTGGCTAAAGCTAGAAGTCCACAAATTCCATTCATTATTGACTCTGAATTGGACTGAAAATATTGAAAAACCATCTTAAACTTCTCCATGGTTACCGGATTTGGAGCTTATACAAAGTAATTCTCTGAAACGCGTTGGACACTTTCTACTAAGATGTGTCTTGACTTTAATCGATGATCTTTATGTCTATTAAATCTTTCCAGGTCATTCACCAAATTACATTAGATCTAAATCCAATTTTTTAATGTATCGAACAGAGATCAATTATGGATTTGCTGTAAATCGATGGTAAAGATGTGCTTATTTCTATTTTCTTACTGCTGTTACGTAAAGTGTTCTTCTGATTGATGGATTTTGTCTTGCAATTTTCAAAGAAAAATCCTTTTCTACTTCTCTCCTAGCTCAAGCTGTTTCAGAAGGTGAGCATCTGCAGTATTTACTCATCCACTGAGATGCAAACCACATAGACTCGTCCAAGCCTGCGGAAGTAAATGAGCTAGCTAGTCAAATATTGTGGTTTGCTTGTATGACTACATAATATTCCTCTTCAAAAATTATTGTTGTGCTTGTGAACACAGGCTTTACAAAATGTAATATTGATATATATATTTATTTATGGTATCAGCATTATTACAGTTGATCAATTAACTCAAAGAGCGTACAAGTGGGATTTCTTTAGTGAAATATAAATGAAATAAAAATCCTTGGTGAAATTTGTTTTATACTTTCTACAATGATTTCATTTGATGTATTTATTTTGGAACATATCCACAGTGCTGGAAAATGATAATTATTGGCAATCAGAATATCTGTACAAATCATAAAAGAAGGGGCATGCAAGGTAGCACCACCATTACGGTGTGCTATATGTGGATATGGAGCCACCTGGTTAAGTGTCAAACTGTCTTTGACCTATTCTCACAAACTGAGGATCCTACCAGTGCTCACAGGCCAATTCTCGCTGCCCAAGTTTGGACAGCATTCATTGGCTGAGCATGTTAACCAACGCATTTTTCCAATGAATCTGGTCCAAACCCGGGCAAAGTGATATTGCTAATCTATAAGTGCAATGGCCTCAGTAAACAAAATGAACAGTCAGGTGCCAAGCCATTTGAAAATGGTTTGATACATAATCAGAGTTGGCCCCCGGGGCATGCTGACAACAAAACCACTTCAGTGAGCTATAGTGACTATGGAGTTGAGACAAACACTTTAAAGGCATTACTATTTTCTCATTACATCATAAAAGTTTATTTAAATACAGCTTTAACAAACAAAAAATAAATGAAATTTTTTTTACACAAAAATGCATTTTTATAATATAATATCTAATTACATATTATATAACATTATATCTCATCATTACATCAGTCCTTAACCAATACATGGGGAAAAAAAGAATGCCTGATACGTTTTATATATCAGGTCCCTAGCTGCAAACAGGAGTTTACACGTTTTAATGGAATATATGGCGGTTATGTAAAAATGTAATTGTGGACAATGTTCTATAGGTGAAGCAGTCAGTGCAAATGTTCCACTGGTTTCCGTTAGAGATGTGCATGATCCAAAAATTTGCTTCAGTCGGTTCGGAAATTCGGGTAAGAAAAAAAATGTTGCACTTCGGCAATTCGGGACTTCAGCACTTCGGTTCGGCACTTCCGAAACCCTATCCCAACCCTACCTTAACCTAACCCTACCGTACCCTAACCCTATGCTAACCTAAATCTACCCTAGCCTAACCCTACCCTAACCCTAACCTGCTAATAGTCGCAGTGAGTCGTTTTGCCGTGCATGTGCAATAGCATCCTAATGCTTTGCTATGGGAAAACATTAGATAATCAATTTTGAAGATCTCAGGCACGTGGGACTAGGTAAGGCCAGCTGCGGCAAGAAGGGTGCGGCATAAGAGAAAAGGTGCATAAAATCATCTTTAATCTCTGGAGAGAGGAAGGCCAGCAGCTTAATGTTGAATTCCAGCACTTTTGTGCCAGGAATCCATGTTTTTTATTCTGACCTGTAGTGTTCCTTTAAACTATGTATCACTGTTAAGACATTTTTTATTTAACCCCTTAAGCACACATGACATGTGTGACATGCCATGATTCCCTTTTATTCCAGAAGTTTGGTCCTTAAGGGGTTAAAATGTCTGTTTTAAGTGTTGGAGAGGAACTGGGATTTAGAATACTGTACATCAAAGATGACCATTGTTGGATCTACTGATTTCTATTGGTTCACAGTCTTCCTTTTTTGAGCAATGTGGGGAATCATGATGACATCTGCTATACCAAGTTCTAAGCCATTAATGCCTCAAAATGTAACCATTCTTTGTAACCTGCCAACTTAGATATCCTCCTTTTTTAAAAGGTTGTTAAACACTTCCCAGCTAAAGTGGTCAACTGTTTTGTATATAGATTAAGATTGTGACAACGGATCATATGTGTGAACAATTGGTGGTCGACACAAGTACCAATGATCTACATAATCCATCATCTGCCAGGGGGATATGATCTTTTCTTCATCATCATGGCTACATTTGACGTCATAATTTTCACACTCTTCAAAGTAACCATGAATGCATTTCTCAGCCATCCATCGGTTGTGTGCTAGACAGGTCTCTTCAAAATATTGATCCTCCATGTTTGCAAATATGCTCCAATATTGGGTGTGAATGGAGCGGGTGACGTTGAAAAGGGAACTCAGAATACGACTAATGACAGCAAGTATAATAAGCGTCAGGACCATTAAAAAGCCAACACCCTAAAAGAACAAATACAGTAAGGGTAAGTGCCACATAAAATCCTAAAATTATATTAGAATGTTGTGCTTAATTTTAAAACATTAGGTAACTCACTAATTAGTACAATTTTTGAT